GTTGAGAAACGCGGCGTGATACCTTTTAAGCTATCGAGATTCAGCAACATGATCGAGCGGGAAGCGGCCTCGGACGAGCAGCTGGTGGCACTGTCTCTCAACGCACTCAGCAGAACTGCAACTGCTCCAGGATCATCTGGCAGCATCTTGGCGTGACTTCCGACGACGCGTCTGCGTGCTGCGTGACCCCATTCGAGGAGTTGTTCTGTTGCGTAGGTCACATGACCGCGAGGTCACGTGCGAATTCACCACTCAAGGATGCCCTCCTGGCTAGTGCAGCAAGATCCAGGTGCATGTGAACGTTGTTGCGATTAGTGAATTAAGCGGTCGTGAACAGGGGCCGGGGAACGGCAAGATCAACGCACTATCAACGAATGAAGGATAAATAAACGCTTATTTACGGTATGTGTCGCCTTCTAGTTTCTTTATTGAGTATTGAATTTCGCTTTAGTCCAATATTATCAAACACTGGCATCATATTCCATACGTGAAGTTTATGCCTTTTATACGGACATGATCCATAACCCTCATTTAATGAAAGCGTTGAGGTTTGACTACTCATGGCCTACGAAATCTTCGACGCCTCCAAAGCTTTTAGCGGTTGTTTTTCTCCATGACCTTTTAGAATAGGCAACATTTATTTCAATAACACACCGGGTTCGGAGCCAGTCTCAACGATCGGTTTTGTTGCATATGCTAATAACTGTTGGGGTTTACCATTCCGATATCACCATATGGTTATGAGAGACGCCGCAGTTGAGGGCTCTAGACTTTTCGACCATCTGAGGTTATTTATTACAGTGCACCCAAATCTGAGCACATGGGCCTACAGCACTTTTGCCTCCAGCGAAAATGCAGCCGCCCCAGCCTCGATTCAATCCCGCGACCTGCAGGCAAGCAGTTGAGTACCTTAGCCTTTAGATAGCGACACCTAGGAAATTTAGCGATCATACAAGGATCAAATGAGTGCCACATTTACTGTGCGATTGTTTCAGTACACCAAGCTGCCAAATCACCTTATCAGAAGATCGCTTACGTTTGTTTGATTCTAACGCATTTTTATTACCATGAAAGTATTTCTTGCCGGGGTCTACTAAGACTCCAGTGACATACATCAGTCACGGATGTAACGTATTCATACTAGCGCCACCAAACGAAAAAGAAACATTCATGAGAATGTCCCTCGTCGGGCGTCGAACACCTGACTCCATGGAATACGACAAAAATTGCCCGATGCCCTTCTGCCAGCGCTACTCTGGTCATTGCTTCGTTCCGTTCAATGCGCCTTATATAGACCCATTCCATGTTTGTAAACACAGGTAGGCCGATGTCGACATTATGGGTAAAATTATAGCGATAGCGACGTCTGCACGTAATTTCCGCCATAAGCACTGAGGGCTCCGATGTGTGCCAACCAAACGACGTTGTGAGACGCCATAAGCGTTGTGAAAGCCATAAGCGCTGAGGACAGCGATGCGCGCCAACAAACAAAACTAAGCTGTGAGACGCGATTCACATCCAAACGCGACGCAGCTTATCAGCTGTCACACAGTCCCGTTAATTAGGAAGGCAATCGCCGGGCTAATTCCAAGGGCCGAAGTATCGGCCCCCCGAACCGCACCACGAAAGCGTGGACAATTTAAAAGTGGTCCTTTTTGGCGCGCCAGCGGACGCCGGCTGTGGCCCAAGGAACAAATCAGAGCCGAGAGTTGTTAAACAAATCAGAATTATATTCTCAGTAGTGGCAGATCAAAAAAACAACACACACAAGTCTGCACACTCCACAACAGTTGAGTACAATATGTCACCAAACAAACAACGTACTACACAGTACATTCAGCCACACTTGAAACAACGGACACAGACAACAATACGCACTACAATGCAGTCGCATGCATTGAACAACCAAGACACTTAAAGACTAAAGAGATAGAAAACCTATTCAGTCCAAAGTTCTTGGAACCAAAGTCTAGATGATACTCTTCCGAGAATCACTCACTCAAAGTCCAGCGTTGTTGTCGTTCCGCAGCCCCTGAAGCTTCTCTTCCAGGAAACCTCGCGTCTTCAGTTGGCCTCTCTCCACGCTTCAAACTTCTTCGCCGGAAACACGTCGGCTTCGCACACGCAGCTGTTGCCACGCGTCCTCGCTCGATAGCGGTAAACACACACTCTTGCCTGTAGCTCGAGCCTTCACCCGTCAGGTGGAAATCCTCTTCTTCTCCTGCTTTGTCGCTACGGACAAAACCTTCGCCGACTACACGGCGGAATCCCTACGCGCTCTGGCGCTAACTTCCGTCTTCTCCTGATCGCTCATCTCCGCTGCTCGGTTAAATACCTTCCGCGCGACATTCCAGAAGGTTCTCATCATTTCGTCGGCGCGATACGCAGCGAAGGCTGGGAAGAGGGCGAGACGGTTGGAATGCCCTCCGCGGCAGATGACTCAGCTCGGTATGACCACGCCTATTTTCTTCTGGAACTTTCCAGCGCTTGCTCGGCCGCCGTTGTGGGGTGAGGAGGTTCGTCGGCGAAGCCACGCTTCCGAGAGGAGAGCGCGCGCCCCGGGGAGCCTTGGATGTTTATTTTCTTTTTTTCTTTGGACCTCGCGGCGTCTCTTTCGCGCGTTATCGCAAGAATTTGGCAGCGCGCCCATTTTTAGCGCTCGTTCTGTGACATCAGCATACCGTTTTTTTTCTCGTTGCTTGACTAGGAACACCACATGCACCATTGAAAACACACCAGAAACTGTGGTAGGCAAAGCGTCTTTTTGCCTACCAAGACAGCGCCCCCACATTTTTTTACGTAAATCCGGTGGAATTTGTCTATATTTGACACATTCTGCCTCACTTCCTGCTGTCAGTTCTCGAATCGGGGCTGTGCCTTCATCTGTTAGTGGTCAAGAAAAGTAATGCGGAATGACGCAGTTATAGCGTGCACTGCGTCCGAAATCGCGCGCCACGCTCCATCTTGAAGGCCTCGGTAAGAGCTTCTTCATAGCGGTGAAAAACTGTGACCGAGCGAGCATAGGAGAGTCGCCCCTATCGGAAAAATTGCCATGGTGGATACTGGAAAACATGGTGGGCGTAGTGGAAATAATAGTGGGCAAGGTGGAAATTATGATGGATATGGTGGGACGTAGTGGAAAATATGGTGGATATGTCGGGACATACTGGGTGGTATGGTGTACAGATGATGGGTAAAGTGGAAATGATGGTGGAAAGCAGAGGCTAGATAGTGGGCAATAATGGGACACTCTGCCCACCATTGCCATAATGCTGGGAAGCCCTAAGCATATGGTGGGTGGTGCTTATTATTGTGGGCCACATGGTGTACCAAGTTGAGAAACTCTTCCCACCATTGCGATAATGCGGGGAAACACTAAGCAGATGATGGGTGCTGCTTTTTATGGTGGGGCCACATGGTGTACCAAGCTGAGAAGCTCTGCCCACCATCGCGATAATGCTGGGAAGCAGTAAGCAGATGATGGGTGGGCTTATAATGGCGTGCAATTTATATAGTGTACAAAGCTGGGATCTGTACACTACATGTTCTACCACCATGATTTCCACCAAAGGTTAGGCCTACTGACCGAGCCCGTACAATTGTGTTATCCGTGCTTCCGGGTTTCAGAATACATGATGACGACAATTAAGTTACATTGCAGCCAAGACATCAATTACCCAAATGAAGCATTTTTTCATTGTGTATGGTGTCTGCTGAAGAAGCAACAAACATCGATGCGACGCGATTCCACCACTCCCAGAGAACGTACGTCTCTTCTCACTGACAGCCGCTGGTCACACTCGCCGGCACTTCTCTAGCTTTTGTGCGAGAACTCAGACGTGGCAATTCGTATGCTTGGGGAACCAATATGATAGCGTAATGTTTCCGGCACACAGCATTCGTTTTGGCCAAGCCGTTATGTAGTTGTTGCTTTAGCGAAAGAGCTACAGCATTGCGCTGACACAACCGCCCTCTACATTGCGCGAAAAGCATTCCAATACTCAAATAAATTAGGTGGACGTATCGATGGAATGAGCCTAGAAGTGTCATAAAGCGTGAGCAGATGTCGCCCTTTAGAACGAGCGCGTAACAAATATTAAACTTGGCAGACCCCGCCGGTAAACTTTGCTGCTCCCCAGTCCACTTTTTGTTTCTTGCAGTTGTGAATTGTAAAACAAAATAGCACTGGTGCCATTAACACAGTGGCAATCGTTACAGGCAGCAGTTGCTTGTGTTTAATAAATGTGCAATTTTTAGTAGAAGGTGCAGATCTCGTCTATGTCGTGTACACGACAAACATAACTGAAGTTGAACCGTAAGTTTGTATGCCAACTAACTTTTTAACACACAACCAACCTCATGTTGGTATGGCGCAGTATGAAAAACTTAATACAGAATGATTTTCCTGTGCCCCTGTACTGTTAAACGTATAAAAAACCATATGGTCATGACGTACTAAAGCGAGTGAAAAACATGTGTATAGCACCCAATGTGAAAACCTTCTTTTTTAAACTTCATACGGGAACCTTGCCAGTAAAAACGTGGCTTGAAGAGAGAGGGATGTATATACCATGGGGAAGCAGCTGTCTCCTGTGTAACAAACCTGAGACCATTGAACATGTGTTTATTGATTGTAAGAACGCTATTTTCTTTTGGTTTTGGGACATCTTACAGAGGACTTTAAAAAAAAGATGTACCTCTTACTCCATATGAAATTCGTTTTTTGCCTTGTGATAGTTCTGTGCAAAATTTGGATGTTATATTTTTACTTGGTCTTCATTTGGTTTGGCGTAGTATGATATCGTACAGACACTGTGATGTGAGAGTTCTATCCGTTAATGAGTGTTTCGTGGAAGCTGTTATAAAAGTGCGAGATGGACTACCGGCTGTGTTGAAAATGTAATATCTTTGTTTGACGCGTTATCACGCATGAAACACGTGTGATGGTGATTGTCATATTAGCTTGACCTGTAGTCAAGAAGGCAATAAAGAAAAAAATTATAGTGTATAAAATGAGAGACGGTTAACACTCCCCTAGGTAAGGACAAAATGTCCCCTGGGCCTCAACACACATTCGGTTAAGGCACAACCGCTTACTTCGCGGCACTTAGCCACATTTTTAATCCGTTTTTTTGCCTTGTGATTGTTCTGTGCAAAACTCGGACGTTCTATTTTTACTTGGTCTTCATTCGGTTTGGCGTAGTATGCTATCGTACAGACACTGTGATGTAAGAGTCCTATCCGTTAATGAGTGTTTTGTGGAAGCTGTTATGAAAGTGCGAGATGTGTATAAGACTACCGACTGTATTGATGTAGTAATATCTTTGTTTGATGCGTTTCACACACGAAACACGTGTGATGGTGATTGTCAGATTAGCTTGACCTGTAGTCAAAAAGGCAACAAAGAAAAAGAAAAGATATGGCGCAGTGGTTAGTGTCTCCCAATGGGAATCCGCAGGTTGCACGTTCGATGGTCTGGGGCCCCTTGTTTTTTTTTTTATTACGGGACGGGTGTTTTTTTCATACCGTTTTTGTAGAATTCTCTTTTATTTTTTGTGGCAGGTCGTCACGGTGATTCTGACGCCATTTCGCGCTCAAGCGTTGCCGGCACTGCAGCACCCACCATATCCCACTATGCGCCATGGTGGGCGTTTGCCACCATTCACCCACTACACTAATCCACTATAATGGTGGGTGGTGGTTTACACCATGCCCACCATTCGTTTTTTTTCGATAGGGGCCGATGCAGTTATATTCTTTGCTTTTCAATTCTTGTCCACCCATGACAGCTCGTTGTTGAAGTCATGCAGCTTTGACATGCATTAACGATGTGTTACAGCCGACTACATCATACGTGATAGCACAGACTTTTTAAATAAAACTGCTGCATCAAGCACTGCAGTAAAGAAACAGGTGTATGTCGACAGGTGCATGCCGTGCTTTGGTTGGGCGTAAGTGAGGCCAGTCGGACATGGAACGCCGGCACGGGTACGTGGCTATGAACCACTGCGTCCCGCGTTTCTGAAGCGCAGAATGCGTGAGTGCTGGCGAAGATTTCAGGAGCGCACATAGTGGACTCTCCCCGTAATATAGGATCATTCAAGGAGTGCATGCTTAGTAAAACTTCGGTATACCACAACGACTAAATCATGACCATGGGTGCTAGTAACCATGATGGAGTCGTGCTACTATATGTGAACAAGAAGGCATCCATGTAAAATGGTGTTATAGCTGCGAAACGCCACTAGAGACTGTACAGGCTCTCATATATCACTGCGCTACGTGCAATGCTTCAGCGAAAGCACGTTTTACTTATGTGTTATACCAATTCTTGTAACAGAAGCATTAGCTATATTTTTTATATATTACTTTTGTAATACTTCTTTTAGTCAAGGTTGAATTAAAATATGTGTAAAAGCTTGAATGTAACTCTAAATCACATAATAACATCTCTTTGGTTATGTCCCAAGGCTTAGGCACGGAGACTTCATAGAGTTGCTGCAGGTAAATTCAGGCCTATCTTTAGCGGCGGACTAAACAGATGATAATGAACATCAACACATTGAACGAATGGTACTCACCCACAAAGGGGGATGGATCATGAACCGGGTGGCAAGATGCTTAATGTAGTGGACTATTAATCCAAAAACAAGTTGCGAAATTATTTCAAAAAGAACACTTCGAATAATTAAAAATGCTAACTGTGAAAGCGGTCGGGCCACCTAACTTTCTGATAAAATTAACGATAAATGACGAATGAAGAATAGGAATAAAGGTAAACTAACACAGTATTTTTTTCTTCCTTTGATGTATTCGAACACAGTAGAGCAGAAATCCCTCTGTGAGTAACCTAATGAAGTGCCGCCGGGTGATAATGATACTGGAACATTTTCTACTAATCCCAACTTTCTCATGGGGACAATAAGAAATCTATCGCTATGGAACGAATGGCAACGTAATTAAAAAATGTTCGATTGCCTTGATTTCACTTCGAAAACGCACAGCGGTGAAGCCTTGAGTCCAGTGTTCTTTAGGTAATTATTCACTTGCGGGATTCAACAATCTAATCTGGTGCAAAACATTTCCCATTGGTGAGATACACATATTTTTTACTATGTGCGAAACAGCTTTTTTACTATGTGCGAAACAGCGTGCGTCCGTACGAACGCGCCGCAACGCGTTACTGCCGCCGCAGGTGTTGGAGCAGCGCCAAGTGAGTCACGCCGCAGCTGCGCGTTATCGAGACACTTCTTTCCAAGGCTTCCCTCGCAAGTGCGCGCTGGAATTCTCTCTCCCTGACCCACAGCACGCTCACCACAGCGCCCGCCGATATTATTTTTATAATATTTTTATTATTATCTCAAATGCTCCAGCTTGTGGTTTCACATGAGGGACTGACTGTTATGTAGTGACAATGACTCGATGTACCCTTTCTTGCCCTTTCAACCCTTTCTTGCCTTCTGTGCGTTGTTGAACAATAAAATATTTGCAGCGTGTGCGTTAACTAAAAGCCGAATTCTACTGTCTCTCATTCCTTCTTAGCAGCCTTTGGCATGTACATTGAGCACTATCTTTTATTGTTCTACAACGCACAGAAGAAATTTCTCACCGGCACCACCTAGGAGGTCAAAATGTGATACTTGTTACACACTACTACTACGGCCACAAGGGACGAATGGGTGCCGCTATAAGGAGCTTCGGCGTTCCAGTCTTCAACTCGGTGAGCGTTCCGGCGGTGTTTCTGCCGGGTGTCCACTCGCGACTTTGCCAGCCAGTTTTCCGGAGGCCTGATCCCATCGTCGTCGGCCCCTGCCGGGACCAGCGAGGATGGCGTCAAGGCCTGTGGCGCTCCCTCTCAAGGAGCACTGCTTCAACTTCACCGTCCCGGAGGGGAGGGCGTCCATTGACGAGATGATTGATGGCCTCGAAGACGTCATGGGCAGTGAAGGTGTGCTGTTTCTGCAACACCTCGGAGCTTTGAAGTTCCTAATTGCGGCTCAGTCGGCTGCACAAGCAACCAAGTTGATGGTAAATCAAGGATTCAAGTTACAAGGTCACAAGGTACAAGTTGAAGCAGTCGGGGAGCCAAGCGTACAAGTCAGTGTGTTCCGCCTACCGCCGTACGTGTCAGATGACGCAGTTATACCAGCTCTTCAGCCATACGAAAAGTGAAGGGTATCACATTTGTTACCTTGCAAAGGCATCAATCAACGTACCCTGGTACCCGCATCGTCCGCATTGACAAGGCCAAGCCCGCCCCTAAATTCCTATCAAGGTCACCACGTGATGCTCGAGTATCGTGGTATGCCCAGAGTATGCGCACGCTGCAGCAGAGAAGGTCATGTTGCGGCTACTTGCACAACACCCTTCTGTCAACGATGTGGCACCTTCGGCCATACATCTGAGGATTGTGTGTCCAAGTGTAAGCACTCTAATGGGGACCACGCGACGAAAGATTACTTCCGTCCCAAGTGATAGGCAGACGCAGCGCAGAGCACCTCACAGTCACTGAAAGAATTCCCAGAACTTGGCGACAGTGCTTCGAAGAGAACAACCCAAATTGGAACCTCCAGGCCCGTGGAGGTTTTGCAACGCAAAACCAAGCCACGACCACAGAAGATTCCAGATTATTGGGATGAAGACAGCGCAACTGACACAGCATTTTATGACGCCAAGACAGAAAACGACAGCGGCGTTGATGCTGCGTCGCCATGCACAACGAGTGACAACGACGTTTCTGCGCTGACTTGGGACACCACAGCGTTGTCATCCCCAACAACGTCGTCCAGGAGCCCAGTAACGCTGTGAAGACGCCGAGTGCGTCTGCTACGTCTACATCAGAGGAACTCAAGGCCACAGAAAACGAACAATCCTCGAACGCATCACCGCTGAAGCAAGCGTCCCAAGCATCTCAGGGCGCTGGCCAACCGGGAAAATTGCTCCGACCTTCCGAGGCAACAAGTGCAAGTGACGAGCTCCATGAACGGCCACCTGTGAGCCTGGAAGGTAGCGTGAAGATGACGCCCACGAAAGAAGTAAAGACCACGTCTTCAAGAAAACCTAACACACCTCGCACACACAATGTACAGGCCTAAGAAGAAGCGCCCGACAAGACATCCAGACATCGTAGGAGCCGGTCACCATCACGAAAATTAAGGAGTGACAGATTTTCGCTATCCTCACGATCGGTATATTTGTCTCCTGAAAATACGTGTTCTCCCGACAAGTTGCCTAGAGCGACAAACTCTCAGGGCCGCACAAAGCCTGGTAGTTCAAGCAGCGGAAGTGATGTGACCTCCTCCGGAACATCCAAAAAGTCCCGAGTGGATTCACCAAACCGAGATCCATCACTTGATGCGGGTGAGGACTCAATGTTTTTTTTAATTTGTGCTGCCCACATCCATTCTTTCCGCTTCCTGTTGTCTGTACCATTGCAATGCTTGCTTCCCAGCCATACAACCGCTATGTATTTGTTGTCTCTGATGCATGCAAACTGTCTAGTATTCCATATGTTACTGTCATTCACGATGGAACCTTCATGTGCCACTTTGTAAGCTCTATGCTGCGGTGGCTATGCCCTGTTATAGTAATTGCATCATGTGAGTTACGTTGCATGCTGCGTGTACTGCTTCTGTTATTATTGGTGTTGCTTACTGGGTCCATTTTATCTGTGCGCGGGAGTAAATCCCAGCGCCCGTCCTTCATCACGTTGACTTCATCATCACGTTGACTTCATCTACTGCCGCTTGACACAGTAAAGAAACAGGCTGTGCGGTTCCCTTACTCATCGCTGTTTAAAAAAAGAAAAAAAACACTATTGTTCCATTTCCCCCTATATTAAATTTAAATGAATAGGCTATCTTTCATGACTTTCAATGTTCGTGGTTTCAAAGATCTTGTAAAACAACAGGAGATAATGAACCTTGTGCGCTCACTCGGGGTCGACGTGCTTTTTCTGCAAGAGACCAACTTTTGAACGCGGCACGACGCAATGACCTTCCGTACTAGATTTTTAGTTGAAGCCTTCTTCTCCTTAACGAAGACGAAGTCACGTGGCAACGGTATCGTGTTTCTCAATCAGAGGTTCAGGCGGGGTGCGCATTGGCTCTTCGAAGCAGAAGGC